TTTTTAGTCTTTGTCAAGTAATTTCTAATTATAAAAATAGAATGAGTGGTAATTCCCGAAAAAATAAACCTAAAACAGCTAATAAAAATCATTATTTGGACATTTTGTCCAATCATCTTTCTGTCAATCAATTTATTCTTTGTCAAGTAATTATTCTGCCTCCTGTACTCTAATAACACCAACCAAATCGTCCGAAGGGTTATAATTAGGATTGTTTTCCTCTTCCATTCGCTTTGTAAATATTTTTGGAACAATTACTACATTAAATTGATTGAAAGCTTTCGCAACATTGTCGCCATTGGCAGTCACTTCCCAAGAATAGATCAGTTCCCTGACTCTATCTTTTTCTTTAACACTAACAAACTTTTTTAGGCGGTTTTAAACTCTTTCGAGTCAAACGAAAGAATGTTCTTCATAGGCTTGGATCTTTCGGTTTCTTCTTCAATTTGGAATTTATGTTGGAACATATTGTTTTTGTTACCCAAAAGCTTCTTTTGGATTCCAAAAATTCCAAGATCTAATGACTCCGTGAGATGTGATGAATGAGGGATAAGCTCAATCATTTCAATATAATTATCCTTAAACAAACGGGTGATTTTTGTGTTAAAATGGCCAGAAAAGCCATCAATCAACAAATAGCTCTTTGTGTCTTTTCGTACACAAAGGAACTCTTTTTTCTTTGGATCTCAGCAATGAAGATCTTTTTAATCCATTCGATATACAGCTGCTTGTTCATGAATCCATTGGGTTGGCTTCGAATAAGAGCTCTGCTCTTGTATGAGGCAACCAAAGATTGGTCCATGAGGACCCATTTGCTGACAACCAATGGAACCAATCTGGTTCCATCACTGCAAATACAACACAAAAGAGATATGCGAGATGCATCTCTTTAAACACCATTGTACATTGTTTCACCAGAATCAACGCAACAGTAAACAGTTTTGCTGGTCGCATCGACCCATTGGGAAAAGCCGACTTCATCCAAGTTGAACACGAGTTCAGATCTTACGCCATCAATTTTTTAGACATATTGTTTTCACTTTTTCAAAACAAAACAATTTACTCTCGGCAATTTACATATTTCCTTTACCACCGTTTAATTTTCTCAGAAAAAATAAAAGAGCTTGGCAAAAGTGTTTGGGTCCATGTTGGTTGTAAACCAATTTTTGTGATTAAAATCGAGGAAATAAGAAAAAGGCAAACTATACTTGAAATTATTATCAAATTAAAAATTAACTATTTTTTCAGTTCTGGCGGTTTTTTTAGCAGACTATAAAATTAATTATTAATAGTAAATATATCAACATATAATAGCTCATTACAACTATTATTATAATATATTTTTTGTTGTGTTTTATATAATTATGTTATAATATTTTAATTAATATTTCAATTTATAATATGCTATAATATATTTTATTTTTTATATCAAATTATATTATATTTACTATTTTAAATATATATTATAATATTTTATTTTTTAAATTGGTTATTTTTTTAAAACATGTTAATTTCTCAATTATAAAAATTATAATACTAAGAAGTATTAACTCTTCATTCAATATTAACTCAACACACCCAATTTTTCCTATTAATAGAGTAAAACAAATAAAAAATATTTTATTTAATCAAAATTATAATTTGTGTTAAATAAAGTTTCGATTTGTAATATTTGGTTATTATTGCCATTTGAAAAGTAACCTAAATATCTTATAGTTAGTTAACCATATACCCTGTTAAGTAACTGAACTATAGTTGACTTACAAACTATATTTTAACTAATCCAATTATAATAAATATATCGAATTATTATAATTTGGATAAAATTCAAAAAATATAACAATTATATAAAATAATTTAAATTAACTATAATATATAATGATAATGTTATATAGTTAATTAATTAATTAAAAATAAAGTTATAAATAACAATTGTTATAATTATAATTAATAAAACCATATATTTATTATATTTAAATTAGTTAAAATATAGTTTGTAAGTCAACTATAGTTCAGTTACTTAACAGGGTATATAATTAACTAACTATAAGATATTTAGGTTACTTCTCAAATTTCTCGTTTTATTTGATGGTTATTATAATTACAAATAATAATATATTATATAATAATATAAAAATAGAATTTGGTTTGGTTTTCAAAAAATGGAATTAAAAACATTTTTTATATTTTATGTAAAAAATCGTAAATATTATTTAAAAAATATAATTATTAATATACAGTATAAAAACTAATGTGTCACATATTCTCAATTACCAAAATAATAGGTCTTGATGAACCTGTTTTTTAATGACTAATAATATATTAATATATATTAAAAAAATATAATAAACATTATAATTATTATAGTTTTAAAATCAACTCCGAAAAGTTATTTTTTGGCGAGAGATAAGTTACCATTTTGTAGTTGAATTTATTTT